TTGTGTTGGGGTATAAAATGCATTTCATGCCAAATCCAGCCCAGCCTCCACCGTGCTGCTCTCCAAAGGATTGGCATCCCCCCCAGCCCATCGTCCTCCGCCCCAGCCTGCTCTCAGCCTCCTTGGTGCCTGGGCACAGAGAGGTGAGCTGGCCAGGACGACTCCTGTCCTCCCTGAATGGCGGAGGGACAAACCCAGGGCCTGCGTGAGGAATCATGCAGTGGTGCAAAGGGATGCAGAGCAGTCCCTGCAGCCATGTCCAGCCCTTGCTTCCAGTGTGGGGTGGAGGAGGGAGAAGACATGGTCCAGCTGTCCAGGATACCGCTGTCCTCCTCTTCCCTTGCTCTGCTCACTGCTTAATAAAGACAATTCCTCTGGTGCCCCGCAGCCCCCGTGACATCCCTGGGTGCTTCTGCTGCTTCTCCCTGCCAGCTGTGGGCAGCGGATGAGGGCACAGCTTGGCGTGGGCCCCCGCATGCCAGGACTGGCAGACCCATGTCCCCACAGGCAGGCTGGGGACGCGGGGGTTGCACGGGGACAGGCACTCAGGAATGTTGTTTTTTCCATCCCGGTTTCCGTCAAGGTAGTAAATCAGTGCTGCAAAAGGCTTTTGTTTTCCCCAGCACGCTGCCGGCTGCTGTGCCTGCCAGCCCCTGCCTCCCCAGAGCCAGGATGCGGCCATCCTTGCCCACACTCCCAGGGCTTGCTCCGGGGATGGGGTCCGTCCTGGCCCAGCAAGGCTGGGGTCCTGTCATGCCAAAGGAGGTGACCTGGCATCTTCTCTCTCCTCCTGGCAGGGATTTCCAGGGAAGCAATGACATCACACCCCAGTTCCCTTGCATCCCTTCCCTGGGTGCTGGCCGCCCTTGGCCCCTGCGGAGAAGGTTTTTCTCCATCCATCCTGCACAGCCCAGCTGCATCCCTCTCGTGTCCATCCCCTCCCTGCTGGGAGCAGGGAAGGATGTCGGGGTGGCATGGGGTGACATCGAGCTGGCCCCAGCCCTGCGAAGCTTTTTACTGGTGGGGTCCCCATACAGGGCGGTCACCCCGTAAGCAGCTCGGCCGTGCCTCCCCCGCACATGGCTCGGCAGCACTTCCCGGCCAGGTACCCGGGGAGCTGGGGCGGGGATATTGGGTTGCAGCAGATGGGAGAGAGTCCGGGCACAGGGTGACCCAGGCATGGCTCCAAATGCCGCTGGGTGACAGCTACACTGCAAAGACGTCTCCCGTATCAGCTGCGGAGGCAGCGCTCCCTTAAAGAAACACAGGGCCCCCCCAGGGATGTGTGGTTGCCCTTTGGGGATGCAGCTGACCCGGGCTCCTTGCCCCGTGTGGTGCCACAGAGGGGCAAAGTGCCACGGGGGGGAAGGTGCCACAGGGGGAAGGTGCCCAGCTCCCCCGAGGGGACATTCAGCTGCTGGCACAGGGAAGGTGTGAAGATCCCCAGATGTATACATTGCGGCTGGGCTATTTTGGAAAGGGACGGAGCCAACCTTGTGACCGGAGCTGGGGACTGCAAGTCTGGACAGCAGGGTCCTGCCTGAGTGACAGCAACCCGCTGCCTGACCTTGGGGAAACCCGAGAGCCCCGCTGTGCTGGGGACAGCTTTCGCACCCCTCCCCACCCCCGTCCCGGCTTGTTTAATGATGACGAAAACCAAGCGTTAGGCAGCAACGTGGCTGGGGACAACACGGGAAACCGGGGACAGAGCCCAGGCTTGGGTGCAAATCCAACCCCCACTCTGGGGCATCCCTGTGGCTGGGCCACCCGTGGTCCCCAGGGCTGTCCTGGAGGTGCACCCCATTTTTTTAAATAGCTGTGCCACCTCCCGCCCCTGTGCTGTGGCTGGGACAGGACTAGCCCAGGCCACTGCAGTCCCCCGGGTCCCCGGCTGGGTGCCGGGAGCAGACAGAGATGCAGACTTTCTGCAAGCCCCATCTCCTTTGGGCTCGGGAGCCTGAATGCCAGCAACGCCTGCCAAAAATATTTGTGTGGGAGGTGGAAAGTTAACTTTAGTTTTCCTTTTTTCAATGGCAGGGGGGTGGCAGGGTGTGAGAAAGGCAGGCGGGGGGGCTGTGCATCACCCACCAGCGAGTGGGCAGGGAAAGACAGCCGAGCAAAAGGTCTCCCTGCTGCCAGATTTTAGCACTTTGTGAATTGAAGGATTTTTTTTTTTTTTTTTATTCTTCCCTCCCCTGGCACCATTTTGCAGCTTCTCACAGGGACTTGGTGCTGCCAGGGAGCGCGAGGTGCTTCCCCCGGGGGGCACGGCCGGGCAGCGGCTTGGTGGGGCTGTGAGCTGGGCACCAGCGCCCGGCTCGCACATCCCTTGCTCTCCGGTTTGGTGCTGCGCCCGTGAAATGGTGCCCGAAATGACCCCCACACCCCTTTACAGCCTCATTCTGCAGGCAAGGGTCTGCACAGGCGGGCGGTTGTTATCTCAGCCTGGTTTTGTGGACGTGGCTGGTGATGCCGCTCCTCTTTGCTGGTGCAATGACGCACCCGGGGTGTGTATACCCATCCTACCCGGCCGGTCTTTGAGCAGACAGGATCAGCCCCACAGCGTTTGCTAGAGATGCACGTTACCCATAAATAAGTCCCTTCCCTTGCAGAGCCCAAGAGCCGTGTCCCGAGGCGAAGCTGGCTACGCTGCCAGCAGCTCCGCCGCCGTTCCCCTGCCGCGATGAGGCTCAGACTGGCCCCCAGCAAGGCAGCAGACCCGTGACTCGGTATTTCGGCGGCGTGGGCAGCCCTGTCCCCGCAGTGTGTCCTTGAGGAACGCCGCCACTCGGGTCTCGCCAAGGAGGGGTTTGCCCAGGGAACGCTGGGATGGTGGGCGCCCGTCCCTGGGATATGCCTATCTGCAGAAAGCGCCCGCAAAATGGAAGAGGGTGGCTTTGGAAGACGATTTTCAAGGCAGTACAGGCTCGCCCAGCAGACTGTCAAGGCAGCTCCGGTGTAGGATGGGCGGGAGTCGTGCTGCCGGAGAAATCTTCTCCCTACAGATGGGGCAAGGGGGTGGGAGCGGGGAGGCAGCAGAGCCGCTCCGAGAGGCTCTCCGCTGACCCGGGCTGGGCTGGCGCTATTTTTGGCAACTTTCTCTTTGTCCTCATTTGAGATAAGCCAGCACCCTCCAGCTCCCCCAACTTGCCATGTTTCTAAGGAAAGCTGTGGGTGGCTTCCCGCAACTACTGGGGTCCTGAATTACATAAAGAGCAGGGTGAGATTCCTTTTTCAGAGAGAAACATTGACATTTTCCCCACAGGAGCTTCTTGCAAATCCGTGTTGAATAATTGCAGCAGAGCAAGGCAGGAGGAAGGATTTCAGAAAGGGCAGAAGATTTCCTTTGGGCATTCTCAAAAAAATGCAGCCTTGCATTTGGGAAATGCCCGAGCGCCTGTTCAGCAGCAAAGCTTTCACTGGCTGTTTTCAAATCTGCCTTCGTTTCCAAAATAACCTTGCTAAGGACGGGAAAAGTTTTGCAGACAAGCTGTACGAGCCCCAGATGAAGCTGCAGGCTGTATTCCTGCCTGAGCTCAACCCGCGGCGTTGACCTAGTGCATTTTCTTATTTCACCAAAAAAATCTTGCAATAACTCAAGGAGGGTTTTGGTTTCGAGCAGAAGCCTCTTTTCCTCCTCAGCTGGCTGTTAGGCTGGGAAATCCATCATGGTCTGTGTACCGTGGGCTCTGCGGGTCTCCCAGCAGCGGCGGTGCCCGGCGGGCGCTTCCCCGGGACCCAGCCTTGCAGCGAGCGGGGCTGGGCGATGCTGCGCTGAGCGGCTGCCGAGGACTCACGGCACAGGAATTTCCCCCGTATGCTGTAACCCGTATCCTGCCCCGGGAGCGATGACATCCCCCGCTCCCAGCTGATACCTCGCCTCTCGGCTGTGTCGGGGTGGGTGTTCATCATTCAGCAGGATTTATGCTCAGCAGAAGGGAAGTGGGTCCGTCTGCGCTTGTCCCAGCACTGCATGAGTCACGCAATGGTTAAACATGGCTTTGTTAGCTGGATGCTGGGAATTTTGCTTTCCAGCAGGATGGAGGTGGGAGCCAGAGCTCCTGCTAACCCCGAGCAAATCCCTGTCTGCAGGGAATGGGCTTCTTCCCCGAAGGCTCCCACCTCCTGAGCAGCAAACGTCCCCCAGTGCTGGCCACAAACGGGGGTCTCTGCGGCCACATCTGGGCTGCCAAAGCAAAGGGAGCCGGGCACCGTGCTCCGGCCCTGGGTGCTGCCCCCGGGGTGAGGACGGATGGGCGAGGGTGCTGGGGTGGTGAGCGTGGCATTGGGTGGGCTGCTGGGGTGGGGGCATTTCCAAATGAGCTGGTAGGGAGTGTTTGCACCTCAGAAGGTCCTTCCTTGTGGGGAGTGGTGCTGGGGCTGGAGCCCAGGCTGGGGGTGCCAGGAGCTGCTCTGCTGGCTGCGGCCAGAGAAATCAGTGCATGCACAAGCATCCTAACGCTCCCCCTTCCCCTCACACAGGTCTTTAGACACTGCTCCTCTGCCCGCCTGGACAAGGGGAATTCCTGCAAAATCCTCCTTGGTGACGTGTGTCCTCCAGGCAAATCCCTGTGGCTGGGTTTCTGAAAACTGCCCGCTTCCGTGGCGTCGTGCTTGGTCCTCCTGCCTGCAAGAGGATTAAAGCTGGGCTTGCACCCGGCACATGGCCATCTTGCCTCTCGGATGCTGCCCGTGCTCCGAGGGACGCTGCCGGGGACGAGCCGGCCCCCCAGCCATGCGGAGTGGGTTTGAAGGGCTGTGGAGCGCCAGCGAAGGAAAGCGGGAAAGATGCTGAAGGCAAAGCTCCGGCAGCCCTGCCTGCAAACCCAGCCCGGCTGCCCCACACCCGGCAAGGCTGTGCAAAACCCGTGTGTCTGTGGGACGGCCGAGGGGGACACCGAGGGGGACACCGGCTGTTGGCAGGAGAGGGGGAGCAGAGGCGGGCAGAGGTGCCGTCAGCTCTGGGATACTCCTGCCTCCGATCTGGTCGAGCAGAAGGGATGGACAGGGCTGCTCGGAGGGAAGGCAAGCGGGAGCTGCCGGCGGGGGGCCCTGCCCCAGAGCTGCCCCCCACAGCACCCAGCCCCATGGCCGACCCCAGCCAGGAGTGGAAAGTGGTGAAGATCCAACGGGTCCTCATCAACCCCATCGGTGAGCCGAGGAAAGCAGGTAAGAGAAACCCCCTTTGGCCACCATCCCGCATCCCAAAAAGCACTGCTGTGATCCCAGTGCCAGGGCTGCCGCTGCACGGCACAGTGGTGGGAACACCCAGCTCTTCCCAGCGCAGGACCTCCGCTGGGTTAGCGGTCCCAGGCTCCCGGCGCGCCGCTGGGACTTTTTTAGCTTGAGATGATCTCTCTGCCCTTAAAAATAAGGAGGAATCCGTGGCTTTTCTCGGGAGGGGGGTGGGAAGGCAGCGGGTGGGTTCCCACGGTCTCCGAAAGCTCAGCTGAACCCCGAGTGTGGCACAAGCCGGGTGGGCTTCCTGGCCCTCACCCTGGCCTCGGGGCTCGACAGGACCCTGCCAAAAGGAGGGTGATGAGGGCCAGCTCCTGGGGCACTGCCTGGGACAGGGACACCTCTCCCCAGTTGGTCAGGGCAGGGATGGCCCAGCATTCGTTACGTGGCTTGGGGCCATCTCTCTTTCAGCTCCCAGTTTAAAAATTAAGCACTTTATTTCAGGCTGGTTGGTTCCTACAATGCTCTCTGCCATTGCCTCGCTTCACAGCCCTGTTTCGCAGCCACTCCTCTCTGTGACTGTCCCTTCAGCCACAGGGACACAAATACAGGCACATATCTAGGGTTACCACAGCCACTCCCACGCCTGGACCTCCCCACCCGGAGAAGATGCTCCCACAGGATCAGACCCATCCTCTTACAGGCATTTTTAAACCCTGCTTCCACCCTTCTTTCTATTTTGCTCCTGCCCAGCTGTTATCGCAGCTGCCACGCGGCGCCGGGGCCGGTGTGTCACTGTCCCCATGGGATGGTGTTATCGGATGCTGCTACTCTGCTCAGAGCCTGGTTTTCCCAAAGCAGCCCCCAGGATGGGGAGGGACGGGACTGGCCGGGGATGCTCAACATGAACCTGGTGTCCAGAATCCATCCCCTGCGTTTTTGGAGTGTCAGACGTCCTCAAAACCAGTGGCTCCCTGGATGGGACAAGGGCTGCGAAGCTCAGCCAAGCCCTTTGGCTCACTGCTGCCCCGGCAGCTCCCCGGGCCGTACGGGCGTCGTGTTTCAGGGCTCAGCGCACAAACCAGACGGACCCAAATAGGCTTCCCATTTCTCACTCTGCTCTGGGATGGCAGATCTGCGGCAGGGAAAGGTCAGGCCTGCCTGACTCTGTCTAGGCTCAGCATTTTCCTAACCCGCGCCACCATCCAGCACTTTTGCTGCCAGCCTGGAATTTTAAAGTAACTCAACAGGTTTGTTGGAAAGTTTGTCTGTCCCGTTTCCTCCCCCTCCAAGTGAGATCACCACCAGCCGCTGCCTGCGGGACCCGTCAGACTTTCCAGAGCCTCCGGGCAGGATGTCGCTGAGGGTCCTGAGCGCCGGCAGCAGTGCAGGAACCTTGCAAAAAAACCTGCAGCTTTGCGAAGAGGAGGTTTGGTTCAGAGCAGGGATGGCGGCAGAGGAGGGAGGGAAGGGCAGGTTCCACTGCAGGTGGCAACGGCGCTGCCTCTGCAGCAGGGTGCTTGCAGGAGCATCCCGGGGAGGTGCTGGGGATTTGCTCCTCTTCTCCTTGGCTGGCTGCGGGTAAAATGCACACAGGCACCCACACACGCACACCCTGTGCAGCTCCTGCAAGAGAAAGGGGTGCATCCATCCCCACCCAAAATCATGCAGGGGTGGTCCCGCGAGCTGGGCGCCAAGCAGGTGCCCCCCGAGCGGTGCAGACCCACCCAGGCAGGGCCCGGGTGCCCCTTTGGTCCCCATCCAGCAGCCCAAGGCCAGGCTGGCTGCTCCCAAATATCCGGCGCGGCGGCCCGAGCTGGTTGGCACCTCTCGGGGCAGGCTGGGGAGCGCAGGAGCCCCGGGTAGAGGCAGCGGCTGGGAGATGCAGGAGGCAGGACTGGTTTCTCTGTCTGGTGTGCAAATAAACAGAAGGTTTCGCTCCCTGGGGGCTGCCGAGCCAGCGCCAGTCTCCCTCAAAAACCAGAAAAGCACAAAAAAGCAAAGAGGGGCAGGAAGAAAGGAAATTAGAAAGGCAAAAAATAAGACCAAGAGCTCATCCTGCGGTGTGGACAGGGGCGGGAGGGGGTGAGGCTGGTCCCAATGCCTGGGAGCTCGGCAGCCCCAGCGGGAGTGGGGTGGTGGATGTGGGAGGCGATGCTGGCTCCCCAGGAATCATCTCGCCCAAGGCTGTAGTCCCCATCACTGGGAGCAGACCACCGCTGGGCTTTCGGTGCTCTTCCCAGGGGTCCCCAGGGTGGTGACACCGGTGCTGGATTTTTGCCCAGCTCCAAGTGCCCCAACTCTTTAGGGATGGGGGAAGCCGGCAGCGAGGGGGAGGCCTGGGTGAGGTGCTGCAGGTCCCCAGCAGTGCTGGGAGGAGGGAAAGGGGGTGAGGGCTGGGGTAGAGGGGATGCTCAGGGCTGGGAAAGGGGGATGTGCAGGGCTGGGAAAGGGGGATGTGTAGGGCTGGGAAAGGGGGATGCCCCAGGATGGGATACGGGGATGTGCAGGGCAGGGATATGGGGATGCCCCGGGCTGGGCAAGGGGATGCCCCGGCCGCTCTCACCCCGGGGCTCGGGGCAGAGCCAGCCGGGACGGGAAGCG